TCTTAATACCAGTGGCTGTTTTAGCTGGGCATGAGCTCTTGTTGAAGCCTCAGCATGGAATGTTTTATACATGTACGTGTCTTACGGTAAACACGGGTGTCATATTTGGCAACATTCCAGTTCATCAGGCAAACCTACATGCTCATCCTCTGTGTGATCAAACTACTTGTGACCTTGTGCTATTTTGGATGTTAAGAGTTATGGTATTTCTGTGTTTCATTTGACCGGTGTTGTTGACATATCCTTCTTTTTGTGACCAGTCACCCTCCCAGTTCTTGTATGAAAGAAATTAACAAAAAAACAGGAAGATGAAGGCTGATGTATGCAGTTGGGTATAAATATTTGTAATGTGGAAGTTTTACATTAGCCCTGTGATCTTTGTGGTGAAGTATAGCCAAACAACCCCAACGAACAAGAGCATGGGGAGGCCTTCATCCAGCAATGGATTGACAAAGGGCTGTTTACTGTGAGCTTAACAGTGGAACATTAACGTTAAACCATTTACTTTGGGTCTTTCGGTGAAGTCACAAAGATAGGTTAAAAGATTATAAAAAAAATACTACGACGTTTCGATCGCAACACAAGTGGTCATCATTAGAAAAAGGGGGTTAGCTTCTAAAGGCAAACTGTTAAAAAGGTTTGAAATGGGCATAGTCCTTTTCCTCATAACGACCGCTTGTGTTGCGATCGAAACGTCATGGTTTTTTGTTATTTTCTTTAAACCTATCTACGTGAATTTACCGAAAGACCCAAAGAATATGAATTCCTGCAGTCACGAAAACTTTAAGTCAAGGTTAAACCATTTAATATGTGCTGTTTTGTTTTTGTTAGTGCTCATTCCTGTTTGGAGTGAGAGTGGATTTCAAGTGCATATTTGTAATTGTATACATTCCTGCATGGAGTGAGAGTGGATTGCACATTAATTGTTGTATTTGTATAAGTTCATGTACTATGCGTGTGTGTGCATTAACTAGCATCTCTTGAGTTGAAATTTCCAAGCACTGGGGGGATTCTGAATGGAGCGAAGACATCTGCAACTAAGCGAGTGGCTTGACATACGTTTACACTTTGGTTATGTGATGGTAATGGTACTGAGTAGCTTTCTTACATAATTTGATCAGCTTTAATGATGCAGCTGTAGTATGCGCATTGTATTAGGAACAGTTTATCTGCAATTTAAACACTGACAAGTACTCTACACACATGTTATACTAGTCATTCATAATTCGTCCCGATCATAATCTTTCATCTTTTGTCATCCATTCCTGGATGAAGGTCTTGTCGCACCACATTAGTTATGGTGGTTACTTTGCCATACTTTACCACACTGGTTAGTCTCGGTTGGGGGAGGGAGTGGTGTGGCTCACATTTGGTTCAAATATCACTCACCACTGGTGTTGGCCATGGTAAGGAATTTACCTCAAATTGCCGAGTTAAACGCACATTCATCTAATCACTGCACCTCCACTCCGGCCCTAATGTGTAATTATGGACATATTCATACTCTTTGGGTCTTTAAGTAAAGTCACGTAGATAGAAAAATAATAGATCACGACGTTTCGATCACAACATGTGTGTGTATACATGTGTAGTGGGTTCAAATTAGGTGCACACACACGCAGCTTGGAGGCAACACTATTTATTAAACGGTAATTAATATAACACGGTACATGAGGTGGTGACCACCTTCCTCAACTCACTAACACTCTGGAACGTGACACAGACTGGACCAGGCAGGCAACGGCCTGCCTGGCCCAGGACGACGACTCTGGACTTGACGACCGATGGTGTCTTCACTTCGGAGTACAGTACAACAGCCCTGCTCTGCGTTCACACCACGCTTATATCTCGTCTCTGGCGTGGCCGGCTCCGCCCAGGCCACGCCTCCCTTCCCAGGCCACGCCTCACTTCCCAGGCCACGCCTCCCTTCCCCCACCTCTGGGAAGGTCCGGATCCTTCCACCACGTGACCCCCCAGGCACCCCCTTTGGGGCCCCCAGCCCTCGTACGGGCCGACACAGTAGTGACCGTTCTATGTCACTACACATGTGTAGTGAAATAGCGCTGACTGTTGTACAGCAGCTGCAACTGCAGATGGGCACTTAGCGCACACACAGCTGAGCCGGCAGGTTGGAGAAACTGGGGCAAGGGTCATGGTAGACCTCGTGGGGAAGCCCCTGGAACCCTTTGGAGGGTTCGAGAAGGGAGACGTGGTTCAGGCAGAGCCAAGCCGCGCCGAGGGGAATATAAGCAGCGGAGAGCAAGAGCTCCGGGCTGCCAGGTCTGGGATTGGACTTGTCGTCGCTGTCGTCGTCGCTGCCCTCGTCGTTGCCGCCTTCGCCCGATCATTGCACGTTTGGAGAGTAGTTGGCTGTACCGGTCGACGCCGTCGGTGCAACGTGGACAGGGTCGTGTCTGGGATGGGTCGCGCGGCAGCGTGGTCGTGAGAGAGAGGTTGCCCAAGTAGTGGTGTCAACTCAACAACAATAAAAGGGGAGGATGGTGCCTTCTGCGACTACCTCGTCTCCGACTGAGTGTGTGTGTGTGACGCACACCACCCGCACGCACACACAAGCCTCGGGCGTCGCGCAGAAGAGAACGAGCAGAAGAAATGCACACATGACATTATACATGTAGGGGTAAACTTGCCGCTGGCTGGCACCAGCAGTATTAGAATCGGCTTTTGTTGAGACGACTCAAACAGAGAAACTGGCAGCAGGTACCCTCCAGCAGGGCAACAGGAGGTAGAGGAACAGCATGCACAATGATAAATAGAGCACGAGGTGGATAAAACACAGCGTGTTGGCACAGTGGAGACCACATGTGGTGCTACCGCCAATTCACTAGTCTGTTTACTCGTAACACTTGGGTCGAACCGGAGACCTCCCATCAGCGATTCTTTGCAACTCCATGTGGTTTAAAGTGTATTTAGCCTGGCACAAGCGGGAGGCAGAGCTGCTACCACACTGCCAAGCCGCATTGGTCACACACTGAGGCCGGCATGGCTCCACTGGCTGGTGATTAATGATGCACTGCACATTCATTCTCATTGTATATTTACTCCAATGGCTCACACCAGTTTCTGCAATTGGAGGGCATATTCCTGGCATTTGCCATTTTAGAGTGTGCCAATTCATAAATTGTAAACTTTTTAAAATCATCATCAGCCATGTTCTATCCACTACATCAAATGTCACACTCCATGGTCCCGCGATGCCACAATTCATCTCGCTTCCTCACATAAGCCGACTCATCACTATCTCTGCGGTGGTCATCCCTCTCAAGTGCTATCGCTCCCCTGACTGCCATTGTCACCAGTCACTCCCGTTGGTCATCACCTCTTCCATTGATGTGTCTTGACAGTCAACAGCATGTCTTTAATTTGTGTTCTCTCGTCCATGTGTTCCCCTTTCTTGTCTTATTGTCAAATTTTCACATGCACCTCTCCACGCATATTGGTGTACTTTTCAGCTTTTTTTTACTTTCTTTACGATCGTAGTGGATGTTTGAGATCAATATTAGATTGAATAGATTAATCGTTTCAGTATCACTCAAAACAGACCGTCACGTGCTGTGTTTTACTCGCCCTTCTCGGCAAACTGAATTTTCCGGTTCCTTCATGTTCGTCTTTGAATTCAACATTGATCGTCAACCGTACCCTGCCAGGAAAATACATTCTAAAAAATATTTAGAAGTAAAAAGCCTTCCACACCCTTTTTGTAATGAAGGCTTTCAGTTTTTACCAATGAAGGTTATGTAACCTTATCTAAGATTTCTCTCATATTTCCATATGGATACCCATACAGCACTTTCATAATTTATTTTAAAGTTAATTTCATTTTGATATAGCATTAATAACTCCTTAGAAGTAAATTCAACTGTATTGAATGTTGTAGTTTGCATAATACAACGTGTCATAAAATATATGCTGTTATAATGATTGAGATGGTTAAAGTAATTTCTGCATTCAACATGTTCTTAAGTACTTATAGGTTTTTTCGGTAAAGTCACGTAGGTAAAAAATAATTATAAGATAAAATAATAACAAATGAAAATAACTCACTTAAATCACGACGTTTAAGTACAGCATTATATAATGTAGACAGGTCAAAGTCTGTGCGTGCATGAAAGAGCAATGGGGCAGTGCTCATCTCTTTTAGAGGCCCTCAGCTAAGATGGAATTGCCACAGTTCTGTTGCAGAGGTCAGTCTCCGTTTAAGACAAACACTGTTGACTTCTCACAAAGTGAGCAGCCCTAAGCCATTGGTGAAAAATCGACTCTTCTATAGCAAATACAAGTACCGTCGCCTAAAAAAGCTCTCATATGTAATCATTCATTTGCACAATCGCATGAATTATGCAATCAATTTTCGAATCATCTTATTTGCATTAGTAATATAATGAATGTTACTTAATTGAAATCATTGTTGCAACGACGCAATTACCTGTTACGCTCGTAATGTTTATGACTGCAATCAATTAGCAAAGTATTTCAAACAGTGTTTCATAATTACCCATGAGATAACGCAAGGGAGTATAGCATAAATTTACATTATTCCACATTATACCATGTTCCACTAAGATGGGCAGAGGTGTCCATGCATTGAACTGTAGCCTTGAAGCCACAAGGTAATACAGCAGATGGTGTAAAGTTGAGAGTTGCAGTGTTCACGATGTTGATCGTAATAATGGTGATGTTGCTCACGGCCATCAATGTTGGTCCTGTTGAAGACAATACTGGTAAAATATTGATATGAGATGATGATATTGGTAATGGTGATGATGATTATCATAATGTTGTCTTGATGACGATGATGAAAGCGATAATGATGTCAATAATGGTGATGTTCTCAGTGGCAGTTTTGAATGTAATCGCCAGTGTTGCCAATGTTGTCTTTAAATAGATGGTATTGATCATTATTCTAATGGCATGAATAGTTATGTTACCCCAGACTATGTTGAATCAAGCCTGTGTTCACACATGGCTTCTGTGCGTTACAGACGGCGCCCCGACACCGCGACAGTGGCGCTTTCGTGTGGTGATCCAGCATGCCAGTGGCGGTGGACGGCCCTGTCCCAAGAGTCTTAGCGACATGAGGCCTTGCCCCACACGGCCCTGCCCTCAATACAGGTAATGCACTTGAACTCTGCCTCCCCACGAACAAAAGTTGATGATTTCATATTTATCAACGGTTGCTGAGCACTTATTCAAAGGCCTAAAAAGGCAAGCGACCACCGACAAACAGCACTATTGAAGGTTATCATAGATCAGAGTTAAATAAAATAAAATGTTACGTAATTTTTGGTGGGTGGGGGGGTAGAAAATTAGCATGCGCAATCAAGAGAGTGCAAATTTTGGCAGGAGCAGAGCACAGGGTAGATCAACACATCCAAAGTCACGGGTGCACAGGTTTACCAACTGCATCCGTCGTACCTCATGCTCTGTTACCTTTGGCTTTGCGCTCCTTCTCCACGAGTCTGTGGCTTCGAAGGGTTTTCCTGTATAGGTTGCATTTGATGCACCTTTGATGTAAGAATGAGGTTAAACCCCCGTTGACTTTGCGAACATCCCAAAGCGGGACAATCCTAAAAAATGACGGTTAGGCTTTCCTGGTACAATGGCAAATCTGCCTCGGTTCGGCCTGCAGCCAGACGACTCCCCCTGACAGTCACTCTACCCCACAGCCACTTGCGTCTCTCCGTGTTCGGGCGCGAGTGAGCAGGTGGCGCACACACCGGTGGGGGCGATGCCACTTGCTGGTGTCCTCCTCTGCACGTGCGGCCGGAGCGAACCCTGGAGAATCACCCTGCGGCCAGGGCTTGCAGACCCGAGGTGAGGGCCGCAGTGGAGGTCTCGTTGTCCCGCTGTCACATTTGCGTTGATTCTTAAGAAATTATCTCAGTTTGAATGTCATTCACAAACGTATGCTCTGGTGATGCTATGACCAAAATAAATCTAAAAGGCAAGATTTCCATCAAGTCTACAGTGGCTCAATGCATTTTAACACAACGGTTCCAACGAATGCTGTGAAGTGACATTAAATACTCTATACTCTTAGTTCTTTCGGTAAAGTCACGTAGGTAAAAAATAAAATTAAAATTAATAAAAATAAAACAATAAAAATCACGACGTTTCGGAGGTAACACAAGCTTCCGTCTTCAGGTGAAACCGTCACAGCTAAATATCTGTACCTTATATAGTGGTTAAGGGGGGAGGAGCCAGGAAGGGCAGCGGGGGAGGAGGAGTTGTGAAGTGGTCAATTACTGCTTTTGTTATACTGCTGGGTGGGTAAATGAATTAGATACGATTAAGCCGCTCTTGTTATGCTGTTTGTGCGCAAGTCACTGTGGGATGAATGGACTCGTGGTCAGGGACGTGTTGCGCAAGTAACTGTGGATGTACATAATAGAAAAGGAGCGGAAATGCCCATGTTTATACCAGTTTTGGCTGACAATAAAGAGTACTGTTAAACGTTAGGGATGTTAACACTCGGTGAAGTAAAATAGTGTCTGTCAGATAAGATGGTCCAAAATGTGTAATTAAATCTTTTTTGCATGGTTGATAACATCTTTCCAAAGATTACTGAGTTTGTACCCATCATCACGGTTGAAAGTATGTCTGTGTTTGTATATCTGAATGGCTTCGTGTACAAACCTTTGATGGTAGACAGAGGGTTTGCAGAGCACCTTAGTCTCGGAGAAAACAATCTCATGAGAGCCCACTGGCAAGAGTCCCTGCAGGACTCTTGCCAGTTGCTGAGCCAAGTGAACAACTCCTCCTTCAATCTTAATTTTGGAGCTTTCATGACTGCAGGAATTATTCTTTGGTTCTTTCGTCGTATGCTATTATTTAATTTATTATTTTATTTTTATACGTGACTTTACCGAAAGAACCAAAGAATAACTCCTCCCTCCCTGTGAGTGCCACACAGAGAAGAGAACACATTCCTGCGGAGGGAGCTGGTAGTAACGTTGGGTTGTTCTTTGGTTCTTTCGGTAAAGTCACGTATAAAGAAAAAATAATAAATTAAATAATAGCATACGACGTTTCGATTGCAACACAAGCAATCATCATCAGGTATAATGAAATAGCGACATAAAATCTAACCAGAAAAAATTATAGACAGACATATAAGCAGACAGATATCACCAAGAAACAGACAGCGGGCAACACAGGTACAGAGAGGGGTGATCGTCTCTGTGGGGTGGCCTTAAATAGACAGAGGGGGGCGGAGGCAGCGAGAGGGAGGGGTTAGAGACAAAATTTACATGTCAATGAGTATAACAAAAAGAAGTGAACAGGCTTAGGGGGAGAAAGAAACACACTAAAATTAAATAACCTAGCAAAGTATCGAAATGTTATGTAAAACGACACAGAGAGTCAGTCAACACACAATTAACGCATAGCCTGGTCGATTACGTATTTCAAAGATTGCTAAGTTAGAATTTAAGTGTGAGAATTTCAAAGAAAGACAAAACATAAAAAAAACAAGAGGAACGGAGACACAGAGACAGAGCAGAACCTAAGAACGACAAAAAACGAGTGTAGACAGAAAAAATTACAATAAATAAATAGGCAGAGAGAGAGAATAAAAAACCCAGAGAGAGAGAAAAAGGTAAACTTGGAACTTCCCCGTAGAAGTGGTTCAATCTTATTATACCTGATGATGATTGCTTGTGTTGCAATCGAAACGTCGTATGCTATTATTTAATTTATTATTTTTTCTTTATACGTGACTTTACCGAAAGAACCAAAGAATAATTCCTGCAGTCACGAAAGCTCCAAAGTTAAGATTGAACGTTGGGTTGCTCGGTCAATGGCCAGGATCAACGGCGGCGTGGTGTATTCCGCAAATATGCCCGACTGTGAGGGCGGGTACAAGCCGGCGATAGTAGGCTAAACGTTGATACAGGTAGGGACAACAGGTTCCACACTGCCCACCGGGGATTATTTGTCTGTCGTGCATCGGAATGCAGCCCACCCATGCACTCCCCCACCGACCGCCGAGCAGGGTCACGATTGGTTGAGGATGTCGGGGAGGGTGGGGGGGAAGGATAAACATGCCCACTCATTCAACTGCCCCCCCCCCCCCGAACGCCGCGCTGAGTTTGTGTGAGTCTGAGAGTGAATGTGTGTGTGAGTCTGAGAGTGAGTGTATGTGTGTGTGAGTCTGAGAGTGTGAGAGTGAGTGTGTGAGTCTGAGAGTGTGAGCGTGAGTGTATGTGTGTGTGAGTGAGTGTGTGTGAGTCTGAGACTGAGAGTGTGTGTGTGTGAGTCTGAGAGTGTGAGTGTGTGAGTCTGAGAGTGTGAGTGAGTGTGTGTGTCTTAGTTACCTATAGTGTTATACAGGTAGGAACAAGGGATTATTTGTCTGTCTGTCGTGCATATCCGGAATTCCGCCCACCCATGCACCTCCCCACCGAACACCGAGCTACGCCGCGATTGGTTGATGATGTCGGGGAGGGTGGGGGGGAGGGTAAACATCCAACTGCACCGCCCCCCTGAATGCCGCGCTGTCCAACCGAGTTCCTACCTGCCCACTCCGAAGGACCCTGTTAAGGGCACCACGGAGTGAGCAGCCCCTCCCCACCCAGCCCCACCCCTCCCACCCCCCACCAAGCCCCTCCCCACTTTCCCCATTCAGCCCCTCCCCACTCAGCCCCTCCCCACCAAGCCCTACCCTCCGCACCCAGCACCTCCCTCCCCACCCAGCTCCTCTCTGCACGATGGACGGACAAAATAATCCCCTGTGGGCTGGTGTAACCAGGCGGTTACTACCAGTACTGTATAAGTAAACTTTATCCTCGTCCATAATTACATGCAATTTAGACCAAAATGTAATTGGATGGAGCTACATTAAGACATCCAGGGCAGTAGCAGCCATGAGTCGCGAAACGACAAGTGGCAGATGATACATGGGTGGTTTTGGTGTTTAAAAAAATACTCAACATATCTGGTCATCTTCTTGGTTCTTTCGGTAAAGTCACGTAGAAGGGAAATAATAAAAATAAAACATAATAAAATAATTCTCACGAAACGTCGTGAGAATTAATAATAATAAAATAATTCTCACGAAACGTCGTGAGAATTATTTTATTATGTTTTATTTTTATTATTTTATGTTTTATTTTATTATTTCGCTTCTACGTCACTTTACCGAAAGAACCAAGAAGATGAATCCCTGCAGTCACGAAAGCTTAAAATCGAAATATCTGGTCATTTCAAACAGTCCTCACAGGATGTTTGTTTTTGTATTAAACTGAAAGAAAATATTAAGCGTTTGAATGATCAAGTATGTGGTATCACTGCGAAGGTTTTTGTGATGGTGCTATGTCGTTCTTCGATGTGTTATCAGGTTGTACAGGATTGTTGTTCGGCATGATGTGTGATGTTTCATTCCACGTGCTGGTAGCTCCTTCAAGCCGCCCGACATGTGGTGAAACAAAAAAAAAACACGTCAGAGCACTGAGGTAAAGTGTAAGATTAATTTAATATATTTCTTTAAAATTGTGGCAACCATCAAACGAGCATGTGCCACCACGATTGGAGGCATAGAGGATTATTCGAGGACAGCTATTGAGGCGAGACGCCGCTGATTGCAGCGTGTGCGACCGCTGTGCCACCATATATCACATGTTCATTACACGTATTGAAAGGCTGAACTGCTTACATTCATGCTCGAGGAATTTTTTCATCGCTAATGAAAGCAAGGGTCACTGGGAATCAACTTCATGACCTCATTTGCAGCGTAAAAGCTTTCACTCCGTTTATTGGAGGCAGCCCCTCGTGTTGAGTACGGACCGTGCGCTGGTCGGCAGGAGGGAGCAACTGCTGCTGGGATAGCAGTGGGGTTGGGTTGAGAGGCGTGATCGGCAAAGTACAGGTCGGGGTGGGATGGTCGATACGACCCTTATTTTCCAGGCATAGCTAGAGCATCAATGAGTTGGGCTTGATTGTTGTTGCAGTAATCATGTGCGGCATAACGCAGCATTAGTCGACAATGGGAAATGGGGTGTCGCTAAGTCTGTGCGTGTGCACTGACCCACACGCACAAGCACACATGGAGCAATATTCCAGTTTGAGTGCACTGTTCATTCTGCCCCAATGGCCTGTGTCTTATATCATCATGTGCACCAAAATAAAGTCCATACAGAATTAATGGAATACCCAGTGGTTCTTTACCAAGACTGTATTATATATAGATTTTGTGACATACACCGCTATCTCTGCAAACCGATTCACTCTTGCACTGTAATTTATGTGTATTTGTACAGCTCATATCGACACATTCGCTATTGAGCATAAGGACCTAAGTGCATCGCAGCAGTGGCATATTCCCACCTGCAATAGCCTACCCATCCATTCAGCTCTATTATTGTCTATCGAAATAAAATGAAAATACCAGCTGGTTACATATGGCACTGAAACAGGAATGCTGTCATGTTTAAATACATGTGTCCTGAGTAATTTCATATTTTCCTTTTATTACAGCATTATATGATGATTCAATCAACAGTACGATTTATTAAATTGCAAGCTTAGTGGCTCTTTTTGTTTAATAGCATTGTAATTGATTTAAATGGACACGTAAAAAAAACAAGAAACATGGGTGGTATAACTTAAATTTTAATTATACTACAAAAGGAGAATTGTCCTTAGGTTAGCTATGTATGAGCCTCCAAAGCGTTCATATTTGTCGAGCAAGAATTATATAGATGACATGAAATATAATCTTGACAGCATCAAAGACAAATTTGATGTATTTACAATTTCATTAAAAAAATTGGGACACTGCGTTTTCATGCTGCAAAATACATGGTACATGATAAAACACGATTATTAATAATTATCAAACATTACTTGCCATACCCATGGGTGGCTGGGAGCTATTATCCTTTCTCGGTGATGGTTATGATGACATGGGGGTGGTGTTAGGTGTGTAATGCTACGCAATGATGTGTAGCTGGGGGCTTTCGTCGAGTGTTTATGGTGGTGGTGATGTTGTGGGTGGTGTTAGGTGTATCTTGCCACGTAGAGGGCGAAGGACACGTGGACCCACGGGAGTGCCTGACCCGCGCTGCACCGATGCCCATGCTTGCCCAGCCGTGCCGAGTACCGTGCGCCTCAGACTGCGCGCTCAGTACCTGGTCCCCATGGACTCATTGTCCATCACACCCGGGCTGCGGGGCAACACAGACAAGACGACGCTCACTCACCGGTAAATGCAGAGCGCGCACGTACTTTATGCTTGCATGTGCGAACACGCACACACGCGCGGCAACAAACTATGATTTACAGCTCATTGTCAACCATTGCTCAATGAAGGCCTCTCCATATCACTTGGTCATGGGGATTATTTGACCATACTTCTCCACGCTGTTTATTGTGGGTTGGTGAAGGGGGTGGTGGCCCAGGATTGGTTCAGATAACACCCACCACTGTTGTTCGCCATGGCCAGGAATAAAACTCTGGTAACTGGGTTATAGCCTAGTGCTCTAAATACTGCACCACCACTCCACATACGAATCAATTAATCATATATTCATCTGCACGCAAACCGCTCTACATATTTCAGTTCCCCAGTAACACTGACAATGCACTTATTGTCTTATAGCAGTGAATGTACTGTATCCGTCTGCGGCATCTTAATTTTCACAGTAATTGTTAATCTAGTGCACAATAAGTGCTGACAATTAGAGCAACCCACCTGAAACATTGGGTTCATTGCTTTCGTGGTGAGTGTTGTGAGACTCATCACTATATGTACAATTAGCACGTATGGCTATGTACGATTCGAAAGAAGTTCAACATACCTCCTATCCATGCCACCCACCTGCATTTTCATATTTTCACCATCAGAATAAGAATCTTTATTTATCCTGGAGAAATCCGATGAGCGATAAAGCTCTTTTTCACAGATGTCCAATAGATGTTCATCACACCACCGCATCCTCTTCCCACGCAGGCAGGAGCAAGCGGCGAGAGGAGTGCAAGGTCGCCAACACCGTTCACTCTTCTCGAGAGCCAACTATGCCCGTGCAACACGCACACAAGCCGCCCGACGGGGCCCTGGTCGGACTGCATCGTGACGCTGGGGGAAGGGCGGCCCGGAGATGGCCCAGCGGTGGCCGGAGAACCTGAGTGCGGGAAGGGCATACGATTGCAAGCCGTGTCTTGCTACGACCACGAAGAGCACTTGACGAGGCCTGAGATGTGCAACAGCCCCGGTCAGTCGAGTGCAGCGTAACCCACGGTCACCGGGTTCGGAGGAGCTTTGTTGGAAAACTCCAAATCTCGGTTCTGTTTTGGGTAGGGTTGCCACCTTTCCTGGTTTTCCCAGGATTATCCTGTTTTTGAGGTTTTCTCATGACATTAATAGTCCCGATGTTTGTCCTACTGGAAAACTGTTAAAAATAACTTAATAGCTCATCATATGCCTCTAATAAAAAAAAAATTCTGATTCTGTTTGTCAATCGTTTTAATTATACACAGTTGACAATGATACACATGTAATTCTACACATGTAATTCTACAATGATACACGTGAAATGGACGGGGCGTTCATGCAGTTGTGTACGTGCAGCCACATTGAGAAGTGGTGTGGACTTAGTGCGAAATAATTCAATCTGTGTGTTAATTAATTAACTTAAATGACTCAGTTTTATTCGCGCTAATAGGTTTTGTACGCACGGCTCATTTCCCACATACTCATTAGTTAATGTGTGGTCACATGTTGAAATGTTCATGATGCGTGTGCAGTGAGTTAAATCCGTTTTTTAGCTTTCTTTCTGTACTGGCCATATCACTCAAACCGATATTCGTTTAGCAAAGAGACAAGCACATTGATTGCCGGTTTTTTTTATTATCTGCGTGTATTTACAGCAAGTTGCTGATTGCTGAAACCCAAAAGAGAGTAAGCATATATATTAAGGGGGGTAGCTTAAATTTTTTTTTTACAATTTAGCCTTTATTGCATATGTTCTTCCTAAATCGTGACCAGAATAGAGTTGCTATATTGCTATTTGCGTAGGTGTTCACAGTTGTTCTGTATAGCTCTCTGATCGCCTGTTGTTCAGCATGATGTCCGACATTTCACTCCACGTGATGGGAACTTTTTAAATCCTTTATATTAAGTTCGCGTGCTTGCTTGCTTGCTTGCGTGCTTGCTTGCTTGCTTGCGTGCTTGCTTGCTTGCTTAGGACCGTGCAAATCTTTCGGTCGTTTTTTAACCCACTTCCCATGATCCAATCGAGCTGACATTTTCCACACAGACTCGTTTTGCCAGACAATTATTGTTCGTGAAAAAAAATTCCAAAATTTTACACTTTTTAGGCAAAAAAAATGATTTTACATATATTCAAATAGAACGCATTCATGGCTTTGGCTGAACGTCAGAGTGTAAGAGCCCAGAGCGTAACCCCTCCACAGGCCGTGGCGGAGTAGCGCAGTTGGTAGCGCCCTCGCTTCCCATGCCAAAGGTGGCGGGATCGATCCCCGCGTCCTCCACAGGCGAATATATTTTTAAATCCTTTATATTAAGTTCGCTTGCTTGCTTAGGACCGTGCAAATCTTTCGCTCGTTTTTTAACCCACTTCCCGTGATCCAATCGAGCTGACATTTTCCACACAGACTCGTTGTGTGTGACAATTAATTTTCGTGAGAAAAAAAATCAAAAATGTTACACTGTTTAGGGAAAACAAATAAAATATTTAATTACCAATTGCTTAATGGTGGCAGACAATCATCCGACCCATAGGTGGCAGCCATCTCAAGCCAGAGGACGAGAGGACTCTAGCCGCCACGCATATAAAGGATTTATAGTGAAAAACTTTGTTTTTACGGGTTTACTTGTTTCTGTTCCTTAAAATACACTGTAGAACTGACGAAGCCCGAAAGGGCTGAATAAACTAAAGAAGTTCCCAGCACGTGGAGTGAAATGTCAGACGTCATGCCGAGAAACACGTTTACAACCCGGAGCCGTATTGGAGTAATTAAGTCTATATATTCAGTCCTGAGTTCATGGGAGGCCTAAAGCTGGCTCCATGTGAAACACGTATAGAAGCTGAACATTCGACTAAAATAATGTGGTGAGATCGTTCAGCAGATATTGCCGTGTGTCCTCATGTGACCCAGGGTGGAGGGCAGAGGCCTGCGAGGTTGCCTGTCCTGTGGACTGCGCACTGGGTGAGTGGATCTCGTGGTCACCAGTGCAGCAAATCGTGCGGGGCGGGGATGAGCATGCGTTCCAGGAAGATCCAGGGGGCCCCCTCTCATGGAGGGCGACCGTGCCCGCCTCCCCATCACGCGCTGCAGGTGACGTTTGCTTTCAAACCCTTCTCACTCGCCCTCAATGCTTACACTCTGCAAATCCACACCTGTATAACCCAAGGTGCCAGCACTTTCTCCAGACATTAATTCACCTTTCCATATTTGCCCCCGATTCTCCATTCAAATGTCATTGCACATTGGACACATGTGATCATTGGTAATGAAGGAAACCTGTGCCATGGCACATGTGCAATGGAGTATTTTTAGAAGCTTCCATTGGCTTGTCTACGTTCTTTTCCACCAATGAAGGTGTTTGAATATATTTTGACAAGAGGGCTTGTTCATCTACGTGCCTACCTGTCCTCTCCTGATAACAGTACTGGTTGATAAGTATTTTCTAAATATAGTTCATATTTTATTATGCACATTTTGTTACATAATGAAACATGCATGACCATATTTTATTTTTCCCTTGATAGTGGAATATGTAATGTTATTGCTGTCAAATGCAATCTTGATTTGAAGCTTTCGTGACTGCAGGAATCTATACTCTTTGGTTCTTCCGGTAAAGTCACGTAGGTAGAAAAAATAATAGATCAGGACGTTTCGATCGCAACAACAAGCGACCATTTTCAGATGAAGACGGTCACTTGTTGTTGCGATCGTCTTCAGGTGAAGACGGTCGCTTATTGTTGTGATCGAAACGTCGTGATCTATCATTTTTTCTGTCAAATGCAATTTGATTGGAATATTATTGAGATGTAGAATTGAAACGAAACATTTCACTGCTTTAATCCATTGGGGGTATAAACATGCCAACATGAGCTATTTGAAAGACAGCCTGATGTAAAAATGTAACCAAAATCCATAATTTAGAGCAATTTATACATTTTAAAGCTTCATGCTATGATCAAAATATTCATATTATAAGCATACAGCAAAACAAAATATGCACATTTGCTTGATTGATCTGTCAATGTTATTTGGCAAGGACCTTTTTTATTTCATGGGACCTCCTTTGCCAGTACTAAAATATGATAATAGGTTTTTCCTCTTTTTTCTGATTTAACTGTGTTAGACCAGAGGACGCCTATTGGCCTATTGGCGTCCTCTAGTCTAACACCGTTTGAGACGAGGCTCAAAAGAAAGCTGTCTCTCGTGTGGACCAATCAGTTTCAAGGACAATGCATATATTATCAGTGTTTTTTTGTTTGCATTCTGACCACAAGCATTGTGGTTAATGCAGACATGATTCCTTGTAAAAGGTTTCAGTTTGGTGTTTTAACATCTTAACACCTGTTGTGTTGCCAGAAAAAAAGGGAAAAACCTACGACCTTTATATTTCACATACTTCTATAATGAGCCAAGAATGTGTGTGTCCCGCGTGATGTCATGCCAAATGAGGCCCACCCCCCGCGTGACGTCACTCCACATGAGGCCCATCCTCCTCATTAATATTAATGAATGGGTGGATTTTTACACTAACGCAGAGGAAGGTCGAGCTGAATTAAATAATTTATTACACAAAGTCACTTCAAATATGACGTTTTTTTACAGAAAGTGACGGTAAAAAAATAAATCTAAGCAGCACAGTGCTACATCCGTGCGTGACGTCACTGCAAAAGAGCCCCCCCTTAATTGCGCGTGAAACTTTACACTAACGCACAAGGTCTCGCACTCCACATGCCGCACCCCTCCTCTCTTTAATGATCATGAGCGGGTGACGTCACTCCACATGCCGCACCCCTCCACAATTACCATTAGGGGTGACGTCACTACACATGGGGCAACCCACCGTCATTAATAATCATGAGCTGAACTATTTTTCTATTGAATATTTCAGATTTACTGCAATATACACCCATCATGGGCAAAAAAAAGCTAGTATAGAATAACAACCTATATTACTTATATTTTACATTGAATAAACTGTGTAATTTAATTATGTAAATAATGAAGTCGGTATTGAGGTAATGAAGCAACGTTTTTAAAAATAAAAACAATGTCAAAATATGCATATCTTTTAAAGGTAACTGACTCTTCAACACTATTTCATGGATGTTCTTGCTAGCTTGTAAAGTCACGTATTAAAAAAAAAATTCCGAATGAGAGGATACCAGAGCAACCACAGCACACCCATATGTAGAAGATGAGAGCATTCACTCCTTAAACAAATAAAATGTGTGATCCTTCATTGGCAGTGGTGCACGAGCTGAAAATAACAAAATCTCAGCACATTCGTCGTTAGCACTGCACTAAAAGAAATAATACATGAAAGGCAACATTTCAGGTAGCCCTGAGAGATGATCTCTCAGCTATGAAGAGGATCATTGGCCAAAATATCGCATGTTGTATATTCACTCCCTTACAGATATATTAGAAACCCAGTTGCGACACTACCTCTTCCAGGCTCCACAGTAATTACCCTGCTCCTGCAAGATGATTGTTTTATCGCATATCACACGCGGAACCTTATAGAACCGCAATAATCCACCGAGTGTCGAGAATTCCTGCTTTTATGTCTTCTTCCAGAGTAGACCTGGCAGCACATTAAATATTTGCAAAACAATCACAGATTGCCATTGTTACTTATTCTATCAAATTTAATGTGTACATGTGCATCTTGTAATGAATTTTGATGACACTGCACACCAACTTGTCAATAGAAGTTAAAGAGCTTTACTATTTGGTTATTTCGGTAAAATCATCATCAGATGATGATTTCTTGTGTTGCAATCGAAACGTCGTAGTCTATTATTTAATTAATTTCGTTCTACGTGACTTTACCGAAAGAACCAAAAAGTAAAGTGCTAACTTGTTACTCCTTGTTTTGTTAAATGTTTAACAAGGGCATATGAATGACTATTCATAGACAACGACAGCACTTTGATTTTACAGGATTAACAACGACACATTATTGGATGTCAATTGTTGCCACATTTACAGCATTACGCCTCAATACAAATATCTGTGCTTAAATTGATCGTAGCATTTCTCTACAGGAGGAACTAAAATCAATTTATTTCAAATTATGTCTGCGACAAAACCAAATGGCCCAGCATGGCACGTTTACCAAAAAATATGATTGATATATATGACTGAATTCACACACGGATTATTTTGCTACATGTATACAGAGAGGTATAATTGACTGACGTGGAACCCTTGACTGTAGATGAGGGAGAGAGGATTCTCAAGCACGGGTATAGAAAAGTCCAAAGATAAAACTGCAACATGGTGGATACACTTCCACAATCATAAGCAAACGCGCATTCACACAACCTCGTGCACCCCCATATCCCCTCCCCCTTACACCTCAACAACCATTGCCTAACGCCCTCCACCTCCTGATTCTCACCGCGACTGGCATGCGATTGTGAGAGCTCATCGAGCGGGCTTCCATCAGCCCTCGGGTCACGCTGTCAGATTCCAATCAATAGACGACAAATTACGCCGGAGTCGCAACACTGCACCGGGTCCGCAACAGATGGTCAGCGCACTGCTCGGGGAGCGCGTCATACCAGGAGCCGGCACCATGATGCGCCTGAGGATGTTTTATAACCATTTGTGTGTGTGTGTGTATATATATGTATAGGCCAGTATACGATATCTAATGTAGTGGTAAAGGTCAGCTTTGCATAGTGTTCCTCACGCCTCTAATAAGGTTGCGCTATAAGCGTACGAGGGGGGTCGAGACAAGACACGTGATCTTAATGCAAATTAGCGAGACTGCAGTGAGCAATGACGATTAAAATTACATGAATAGTTCAGTTTTAACCTCATGTCCACATCCTAATTGGGGAGATCTCTAAAAGCCGAAGGTGTTTCAGTTTTGTCCCCCGTCTTACGTCGGTCGTTTACATCGCCAGGTGTGAACACACCTTCGAGCAACAATTCAGGAGAGGGCTCAAGTAGGTGGGGGGGGGTGCAGAGGTCGATGCATGCACAGTCAGTAGTGTGGTGTATAGTTACAAACTCTGTTATTTTATGCTTGTACGTGCATACGTGGATTTGCTGTGTAAGCATTTGTAAAAGTTGGGATCCGTCGAAATCCCGACCACATGAGTTCGATTTCTGACCATGCCAAACAACCAAGAACATTGAGTATCGAAACCTGGTCAGAGATGCTGCCAGATCAATGCAGCCTAAATTACGTTGTGGTCATCACTAACATCAGCCGTCCAACGTGCGTAATGAAAACAACATCTCGGGTGTGTGTTGTTGGTCTTAATAGGCATTTACCAACATCACAGACTATATAAATCATCAATGGCTATCTCCGTTTTGTGAAAGCGGATGCATGTGGAGAAGAGACTGGAGGCTAAGGTTCAGGGAGTATAAGAATAGCGATTTTTTTTTTTTACGATACAGCAACAACAACAACAGCACAATAAACATTCACCTCGCCGCGTTGCCGGCAGAGCTGCATGTCACGCTGCCAGTGGGTGTTTATGCAGCCTTTGAAATGTGTCGCCTTTTGGCCGGCGACGTTGCACTGACAGATGCGGTTTCATACGCATGAAATTAAATCTGACAGAACGGAGAAAGGTGTATTTTTGTAATGGGGAATGCACACTTGCTGAAATCTCTTTGATTTCATTTTGTGCGTGTCAGATGATTCAACTTTGCGTTAGCAGTTATTACTTACAATTTATATAGGGCAGAGCTTGCTTTATTTTTGTTTTGGGGGGTTAAAATTAATTCCACGCGCTTAAAACACGAGTCTGAGTGTCGCAATATGAACGTGTGGACTCTGCGTTTGTGTATGTGTTTGTCTACTCAAGTCACATCCACATACAGTCCCTCATCTGCGTAGAATTTTGATAGTTAGGCTTTTACGAATGTAAACGTCTCCAACCTTCCTCGAAAAGAAATCATTAATTATTGATCTTCTATTTCACCTCATTCGGAATTTAGTAATAAAAGGAGGAAGCTGAATCTGCTGGTGTGGTAAAGGAGGCCTTGCCATATTCATTTGCTGTTCTTCAGTGTAGACCAGGGGTCGGGAACCTTTTTGACTGAGAGAGCCATAAAAGCCAAATATT